CGGTAGAGTTTTGGTTTCATACATTGTATATTTTCATCCTTAGAATTTCCATTTGATCCATTACTATACTTTCCATTTCTCCTTTGACTATGGTCATGGTTTCCTGTAAACCCTTAGGGGATACACACACACGCACACATACACGCACACATACACACACGTGCACACACACACATACACACCATACACACATACACACACATACACATATAAACACACGCACACACATACACATGCATGCACAGACACACACACACATGCATATATACACATGCACACACATACAGACATACATACACATAAACACACATACACGCACATACATACACATGCATACATGCACACACATACACATATACACATACACACACGTATACACATGAACACACACATACACACATATACACACGCACACACACACATACACACACATGCACACACATACACATATACACGCACGTGCGCACATACACACACACACATACACACACACACACATACACACATACACACACGCACACACACATACACATGCACACGCATATGCACGCATACACACATACACATACACACACACACACACACACACACACACATATTTTTCCTGAAACAGGGCCCAGGATAGAGTGCAGTGTAGTGGTGTGAGCCCAGCTCACTGCAGCCTCAAACTCCTGGGCTCACGTGATCCTCTCACCTCAGCCTCCTGAGTAGCTGGGACTCCAGGCACATGCCACCTTGCCCAGCTAATTTATTTATTTTTTGTAGAGATGAGGTTTCCCCATGTTGCCGAGACTGGCCTTGAACTCCCGGACTCAAGCAATTCACCACCTCAGCCTTCCAAAGTGCTGAGATGACAGGTGTGCGCCACCAAGCCCAGCTGATCCTTGGGCGTATTTTTGGTCACTGTTTTAAATGCCTTCTCTGCAAATCCTGCCGTCTGTGTCATTTCTGGGTCCGTGTCTACTGACCGATTTTGTTCCTAGTTATTTGTCACAGGTTCTTGTTCCTGCCTCTTCACAGGTCTGGCACCTTTGCACTGGGTGCTGGAGGTTGTCAATGTCAAATTGTTCGTTTCTGGATTTTAGCGGCCTCCTTTTTGGGAATGTTGAGCTTTACGCTGCTAGGCAGTTAATTCACTTGTGGATCTGCCTGGTCCTTTCAGGGTGTGCTTTGAACCTTCGTCAGGTCAGGTCTAGAGGAGCCGTCACCCCAGAATTACTTCAGCACTTCCCCTGGGACACGGCCTCCCTTGGTATCTCCCGAATATTCTGGGTGGTCAAGACTTTTTCCCTCTGTCACTGTTTTCAGCCATTTCATGATGAGGGGCTGTGGTGTGGTCTGCTTCCTACAGACGCTGCTTTGACTCCTTTGTATCACTCTACGTCACTTTGAGGTTCTTGGATCTGCGGATCTGACTTTTTATCATATGTGGACATTTTTCAGCCGTTCTTTTTTGAGAGGGAGTGTCGGTCTGCCACCCAGGCTGGAGCACTGTGGCTCGATCACGGCTCACGGGGGCCTGGAGCTCCCCAGGCTCAAGCAATCGTCTCTCCTCAGCCTCGTCAACGAGGGCTCTTCCTTCCCGGCGGCGGTTGTTCCGGCATCCCCTGGCCGGGTGTGACCTCTGGCAGACGCTCTGCCCACAACCCCCCTGCCCAGCGCTGGTCCCTGGCTCCGTGGGATCCCACCCTGCTTACGCACAGCTCAGTATTCAGCCTCTGGCAGTATTCAGGTGCACCCCGTGGGGATTTGGGGGGCTCCCCTGCCCTGCTGCCTCGTCTCCGGGGCTCTCTCCACAGTCCTCGGCCTCCTTGGCTTCCCAACGCTGTCCCCGCAGCCCAGTGAGGCCACCAGCCTTCTTAGCCAAAGGCTTATTTGCTTCTTTCTCACAGAAATTTCCGTCTCCGCCACCTGTTGTCCAATGTCAGAAACGGCGGATTCTCGTGTTTTTTGTTCCGTTTTCGACTCCTTCGTCACGGCCAGAACACCTGACATGTTTCGAATTCTCAGCTTGGGGAAGACACACGCGGTTGCTTTGATATGTGTTGAGTGACACGCACCTCTCGAGACCTGAGATGGTCCCTTACGGTGACGAGGGATCCTGGGCTGCGGCGTCAGACAGACCTCGGCTCTAACTGCGGCCGGGCCACCTACCCGCCAGGTAACAAGGCGCAAAACATTGCTCCCCTCAGTTAAACGGGGATGCGACGGCATCTGAGGGGCTTCTGTGAGAATTCAGTAGGGCGATGCAGGCAAGGGCCAGAGTGAGGCTGGGCACACAGTGGGTGCTTCATGGGAAGTAATGACCCTCACTATTTTAGGGTACAAGGCAAAGGGGTATTTGCTCCCTAAACCCAACCCCCTGCCCACCAGCCCAGGTTCCCTCACTGCCCCTCACCCACCAGCTGGACGCCCCAGCCATGGGCCCCACCCACCAGCACAGAGGTGCCTCTGTCCTCAGCCCCCTCATAGGCACACCATCGGGCCTTTTCCCCACTGCACGGGCGGGACAGGACACCCACGAAACTGCAGTGGCTAACAGGACAGCCCAGCGCTGAGGGCCTGAGGACGGAGGGCTGTCGTGGCCTCTCCTCCAGCCGGTGCGCTCCTAAGGGCCCCAGGGAGGGAACAGAGGTGGGAGCTCTGCCCACTCAGCCCCGCAGGGAGGACAAACCCACCCCACAGCCTCAGTCCACCCTCAGCCCTGGGCACCTGGGAAGGCCAAGGAAAAGGCCTCCCGAGGGGCTGCTGGCTTCAGGCACCACCTAAGACCACAGGCTGTCCGTGCTGTGGCCCCGTGGCTGAGCAAAACCTTGGAAAACTCACAGCAAGGCCTGCAGGAGCTCAGGCCACCTCGAGCCGCAGGGAAGGAGCTAGGCTCCTGCAGGTAACAAGTGCTGCCCACCCTATAGCAATGCTCGGTGGCTGTCAGGCTTGGGGGACCCATATCTTCTCCCCTGCCGGCAACATGGGAGGAGAATCCCTCAGGGCAAGCAACACGCTGAGCCACAGGCTCTGGGTCCGAGCACTGCGCTGCAGAGCGCGCCACAGACGTACCCGGCTGGCATGCCTCCCCGGGCGCTTTCTCTTTGCAGCCCCTTAGGTCTCCAAGCCCGTTCCTCCCAACCTTTCCCTTGGGCCTCATGCCAGGGCGGTCTCCTGTGTCATCATCAGGCCCTCATTTACAGCAGAGGTGACAGAGGCAGAGAGAGGTCCAGCCACCAGCTCAGGAGACATCGCCAGCAAAGGGACTGTCCCAAGTGCACACTGAGTGGCCTCTGGGAGCCAGCAGGACATGGAGAGACAGAGCCAGACCCGGGGTGGCTGGAGGGACCAAGCAGGGGCTGGACAGAAGGTGTGGGGTGCAGGGCAATCCAGAGGCAGCTTCTCAGAGGATTTTATGGGAAAGCACTCAGCGGGTGTCGGGAACCTGGATCCCACTGAGTGTCCTGGTACGAGGCTCCCGTCTCCGCACTGGGCCTCAGTGACCCCACTGCACCCCAGTCCTCACAGGTCAAGGCTCCAAACACCCTAGCTCCCTCCAGGGGGGTAGGTCTTGTCGTGCAGTACCCATCAAGGACTCAGGGGGGCAGCAGCCACCCGCCTTTCCCAGGAGCTGCCGGAGATGGAACCTCCCCACAGGGAGCTTCAGGTGGAGATGGAGACTGCAGCCCACAGGCGTCAGCTCTTAGCTCCTCCGTCATCCCCTCCTCAGAGGGACGGATGGCCCATTGGACCCGTCCCTGAGGCCAGCCTGTGCCCTGCTCAGGTGGCACCTGACACCCAGGTGGCACCCGACACCCAGGCAGCCCCTGCCACAGGGCAGACATTGGGGGACTCGTGGGTGGGGCGACCAGTGCAGGAGAGGGCAGGGCAGGCCACAGGAGCGCCAGGCAGGCCTCCCCTCTAGCCATGACACCTGAGAAAATGACAAGTGACAGCCCCAGAGCCTGCAGTGCCTCCTCACCCTGCAACGGGATCTCACGGCCACCCAGCCCAGGGAGGCAGGTGCTGGAGGAGGGTGGCCAGTGCCCTCTGGCTGGCCCACCAGTGCCCGGCCCATGCCCTGAGGCCTGGGGTCAGGGAGGGATGCTGGTGGAAGCTGACCCAAAGCCCAGCGTGGATGTTCACGCAGTAGCCTTTGGCAACAGGCCTTTCCTGAAAAGGGGATGGTGGAGACAGGTCAGAAGTGGGGCTGGGCCCTGGGACCTCAGGTCACATTCCTGGCCGGCCAGGCCCCACCCCTCCCACAGCACCAGGAGCCTGATTCCCGAACCCGCAGCCTGGGGGCAGCTGCAGCCTCTGCCCCGGGCCCTCCCTGATCTTCCCCGGCGTTCCCAGCAGGCAGAGCAAGGCCAGGCCGGCGCGGAGGGCAGGTTCAGCCCCGTGCGCGCCGGCGAGCGCCTTCCTTTCCAGGACTCAGGGTCCTCCTCTGTGTAGCGGGGATGAGGGCGACTCGACCACACCAGGAAGGTGGCCGGGGTGCCTTGTGTGCTCTTGGCTGTCCTTGGCCGCCCGGCTTCCAAGAATCCAGAGGGCCGGGCCTTTCTACAGCAAACATCGGGTGCCTGCAGGCAGGTCTCCTTCCGGGAAGGCTTCCTGGAGGAGGCGGTGGGGCGGGGCCTGCAAGGAGAGCGACGCAGGAGGGAGCCGAGCCGCTCCACCGCGCCGGGGAGGCAACTCCAGGGCGGGCCTCGGGGTGGGGCTGGGGGAGGGGCGCGGGCACGGGGGGGCGGTGGCTCGGCGGGAGTCGGGAGGCGCGAGCAGGTCCGGCCAGTCACGTGGGCTCCGGCCGGCCCAGGTGGGGCTGTGACCTGTGACGCGGGCGGCGCAGCCACAGGTGCCCGGGCGCGCCCCGCCCCCTCCCGCCCCTCCCTTCTCCTCCCCTCCCGCCCCTCCCTTCTCCTCCCCCCCCGCCCCCCCCCTCCCGCCCCTCCCCTCCCTTCTCCTCCCCTCCCGCCCCCTCCCGCCCCTCCCTTCTCCTCCCTTCTCCTCCCCTCCCCGCCCCTCCCCGCCCGAGGCCTCGGACCCGGAGCCGCCTCGCCCGCCCAGCGCCCACCTGGGGGCCGCAGCCGCTGCCCTCCCGCCAGACCGCGCAGGAAGTTGGGAAGGCGACCCGGGCGGGACCGCACGGCCGCAGGAGCGAGGCGGCTGCAGGACCGGACGGGACCGGGCGCTGGAGGCTGCACCGCCGCGCCCCGCCGCCCCTCCGCCCCGCGGCGCAGGTGAGCCTGGAGGGCGGGGAGGCTGGGGACGGGGGACGGGGGGCGGGGGGACGGGGCTAAGTCTGGGGGAGCCGGGGGACGGGGAGCCG